GTCAGGGAATATCGAAAATTTTATACATAAACAGCGAAACGGCTACAACTGCAAAAATAATTAGTGTTGAATATCTATTTCTTATTGTTGAGTTACAGGGCATAACATTGCCATTTTTAGATTTACAGGCACATACTTCGATAGTATATCCTTCAGTCTAAAAATATATTTAAAAAAGTATCATTATAGTATCTTGTACTTTGTCATCAAATGCTCACGCTGAATATAATTGTAAAGAAAAACGAAGTTAATTACAAAGCGTTTATTATACATACGTATTTGAGATAACAGCCTGATATGATTGGTGTAACTTGGTCTTCTGTAACTTTTCCATGGAAATAACTGATGTTCATAACTGCAAATAACATTTATGTTTATATTTATATCTATATAAATAATGTTTTGATAAATCAATTCTATTTTGTCATTTTATGAAGTATATACCTGCGCCATTGTACATAAATGTATAGCTTACACAAACATAACCAGGTTGCATTCGTTGTATGTACTTTGTATTATTATTTTTATTTATATCCTCCCATAGTTTAGTTACATTTGGCTTTTTGTCATCTGAAAATATGATCAAATCTCATTTAACAATCAAATTTATTGCTGAAAATGAATACAAACATTATACACTTACAAAAAAACAATGGCTCTATACAAGGAGTAAATTGATTATTCTCATGTTCCTCACAGTCTAACTTGTTGACTTCTGCATGGGAAGGGCCTGGCCATGTGAAGTGAAAACAATGTGGTCCTTCGATATTTATCGCTATATAAAATATAAAAGTAAGATAATTCTGAGAAGATATATATTAAAACCAGTTGACAAACTATGAAGCGTCGAAACAGAATAAAATCAACCGTATATAAATTAAATCAGATTATCAAGTAGCTTTGTAGCATCATTTCTTTTAAGTCTTATGATTTCTTCATATATGTATTCTAGCTCGAAGAATCATCTCTCATTCACAATGTGATACAGACTAAGTCAAATTTATCCCCTGTATTTTTATATATAATTTACATATATATGTGTACGTAATTATATACATATATATATATATATATATATACACACACACACAACAGTTATACAATGCGAACCGTCTTAATATTCTATATGTGCATGTACGTACGCGAATAGGTGTTTTTTGCGATCTATTCTTATACCGGCTGAATATCGAACGAAAACTAGTGATGGTTTAAACATTTTTGATCGGTTATTCCAACTTAAATGAAAGTATATTGGCATTAACGGCCTGGAAAGCTACGCGCTGTTATTTGGTACTTGTATTTTTAGCGTGCAACATTTATAAAACATTATCGAGGCGTATAATGTTGTAGAAATAAATAAATATACTTACCTAATACGTATGTGCAAATTGTTAAAAGCAACAAGTATACCTCTTTCATTTTTACATATTTAAGAGTTAACTCACGCAACGATATCGCGAATATTACTCACGTTGTTGGGACGTTGGAGACTTATCTGATAAAATCGATCATGATCATACAATGCCAGTGTCCTAGATATGACAATCGTTATCAATGTACAGCATGATAGCATAAGGGAACGTAAAAATGAATGGTAAAAGATAATTAACCGTATTGATTTTTAAAATGTTTTGTAAAAACTTTGCTTTTTGTGAATTATTTGCGCTTTGTAAGCTCCTGTTTTGGCTATTAATGTTCTTTACACTTTGCTTCGAACGGATTTAGTCAGAATTGACTTGTACCTATTTATGTACTAGATTGACGCGACTAAGAAAAGTTAATGCTTCTCAAAGTATATGGAGAAAACAATGAAGAGTTAATACAATGACAATATAAAAAATTTATTATAACAGCTAATCGAGATTTACAATTTTTGGCAGATATAGCATATTTTATGCATCTCTCTACGATATCAATTATGTAAATACCACGATATATAAAAACATCTATTTATTACAGTAAATTAGGTATTCTTCTTAGATAAACTATATCTTAAGTAGATTTAAGTATTATAAGTAATTTATTCGTTAGTGATTTTTTTCTTATGAGATTACGTCTCATTAAAATTCATCATGCCTCGCTAATGCCTCGCCGAAGTCCGTCGCCTGTGATCCGACAAAAATGTCATATTTCTCCAAAATCTCGCTTTTCGTCAATTTGTGATCCGCATCTGTGTCCGCTTCGTAGATCAAGTGTCTCGATTCCGCCTCAGCGTGATCAAACTCCGCAGGAATAATCCACGTTTTTACCTGTTTCAGGTTGGAATTCGGACTTTATTGGAATCAGTTTTATCGGATTAATTCATCAAAAATGTAATCCTCTTCAATATTTTCCGTGTACATTTTTATTCAACAATTAAATAATATAAAGAATGATTAATTACCTCGTCAGCGTTCAAGAATCCATCCCCATTTTTGTCTCTATACAAGGAGAACTGTTCTTTCTCGTTCTTTACCCATTCTGGTTCCTCTTCACCTTCCTCGCCTCTGTACATATCACCTGCGGACAAATTAAAAATTCAAGAACTGTTTAAGCTACTTTTAGAACGCCATTCTAGTGAAAATTCAATAATTATACGTTTGATTTTAGTTATTGATTTTGTTTGTTATTAGCAAAAGATGCCCAGCTCGAATAGCCCATGTTTCATATTACTAGTAAAAATTGTTGAAAGTCTACATATCTTTTCTAGAATTCTTCATATAAGTGAATTCTAAAATATTATAAGATTTCTAAGATTTTTTATTCTATAACTTCTAATAAAATTTTATAAATCTGAAAAAGTTTAAAGTATTTTTCAGAAATTATAGAATGAGAAATCTTAGAAATCTTAGCATAATGTTACAGAATTTATATATATAAAGTTAAGAAAAAATACAGACTTTTTCAATATTTCTGAAACATGTTCCAATTGATATAAAAAATTTTAGGAAAAAAATTTTCATCAGGGCAATGATAATTCCCCCTTACCAATATATTCTGCAAGAGATATCTTTCCATCTTGATCCTTGTCAATATCCTCCATCGTTTCCAGTACTATCACGTCCTTCATGTGCTCCGCATCTTCTGCATGAAGAAAGGCAGTGAATTCTTCTTTGGTCAGAGCATCATCACCATCCAGATCCGCAGTAGTCCATCTTCTGCGGTCCCTTTTGTACATTTGGACATACGAGAACGACTCGTCCGTGTTGTCGCTCTCTCGCTTTTCCGCTTCTTGTTCCTCCATATCACCGTAAACCATGTCTTTGTATTCCGTCCAAGATAATTTCTCCTTCCCCATCGGATTGTGGGATACCCACTGACGCTCCACGTCATCCCTTATGTAACGTTGCTGTGTGTACATTATCCAGTCTTTAAGTTCCTCTTGCGTCACATAGCCATCGCTATCCTTGTCTATTTTATCAACAATTATCCCCAATCGCCTTGTACTTTCCTCAGGAGTCAGCTGATCAAAGGTTTTAGCTTCTTCTCCAAGGAAAGCTTCGTGGTCATAGGCTGGATTGTGTTGTGAGTGAACATAGTGATCTTTACTGCCTGCATCCTAAAATATAATGCACTTTGTAAGTTTTTGAATCATTTCTTTTTTTTATTTTTTACAACTATAACTAATTAATAAAAGTAATACAAGAAGAAAATTTTAAATAAAGATAATATATTTTTATGAATTAAAAAAGAAAGATGAAATATAATTAAGACTTTATTCAATTTTGTAAAGAAAATTAGAAAAATAATTTAGTATCTATTTTAAAAAATATATATCTTTATATAATTTAGTATCTATTTTAAAAAATATATATCTTGTACTATCTATATAATACAACGTCCTGAAGGGACAAGTTAAAGAGACATCATCCGGTGATGCCTTGCAAAAAAAAAGCAATGCAAATGTCATTACCTACCAATAGAACTTCACTTTTCTGTTATAGAAAAAAAATGCTTTAAATGTCAGGACTGACTTTTATTTGATCACTTATACAATACGAGAACAATTATCAAAGATAATTCAGTTTATCTAACCTTGTTTAAAATGCGATGCTCGCCGTCCGGGATCACCTGCTTCGGGATCGCCGTCGCCAGGATGGAGAAACCGATTAGGATTTGGAGGAACATGAGCGCTCGCATTCTACGGAGATCGTGCAATCGGGACGAAGGAAAAAAAAAAGGAAAAGGTGCAATGAAGAGAGAACAAGGGATAGATTCAACCGAGAGGCTCGGTGAATTTACGAGACGTCTTTCTTACGTCGGAATGAAGAAACGACAGATGAGTTGAAATGAGATCTCTCTCGTCACGGCTTGCGCGACTTCCACATCAGCAAGAAAAATCGTAATGCAACATACACCCCCACCTTCCGCGCTCGTTTATGGGAGAACGCGCCGCGAATGCCGCGACGAGTCGACGACTCTACCGACACCGACGAGACGCGCCCCTGCATGCTGATCCGCTGATCGTACGGCGGACGAAAAACGTACGCCAGACGTTCGGCGGCCGATGCTCCCTCCTTGAGAAAACGAATCCACAGCCTCCACGTGGACCGCAGCGATGATAACGGGGGCTCTATTACGGAAATCCTTTAAATAAAGCGCTCTCGCGCTTCTTATTGTAGACTTCTTAGTCTCGCGATGCAGATGGATAGAATTATCATTTTTTGTCGCGAGAAAGAAGAGAATATAAGAACAAATTGTACAGTTAAATAAATTAACAATTCTGCCGATTGAATCGTCGCTAAAGTGAATAAATCTAATCGCGAAATATTGTACAGACTGCGTTCTTAAACGTGGACAATTTTTAATCGACAGAATTGTTAATTTATTTAACTGTACAATTCATCCTTAGTTTTTTTCTTTCTTGCGACAAAAATTGATGATTATATTCATGTTAATAAAATATTAAAAGTGTTATTTGCTAAGTTAATCGCTGATTAAATTAAAACATGTTACAAAAAATTGTATATAATAACACATAACACAAAATACAAAATTTGAGTTTGAACAATATGCGAGGAGTTGGCGATTTGAGCGGAGTCAGCAGTTAAAAATCTGCAAGAATATGGGAATTAAATTCGCGTGACTCAATTTTTTAAACAAATTTTTATTTAAGATAACATGTGCCAGTTCTGTCAAATGTCTATATTCTTATTGTTAGTCAAATGTTTATATTATTTTTTTATTCTTTGTTGTAGATCTTTGTTCCTACAAAGTACCATTATTAGATGTTTATTATCCCAGATATTATAGCACAGAGTTCAAAAAGAATTCAGTGATATGTCATCAATTCTGAATTTATTTTCACATGCAAAAAGAATTCTTTTTCTGAAAAAAATTCTTGTTGCATCTGAAAATGAAGTCAGAATTGATGACATATCGCTGAATTCTTTTCGAACTCTCTATATGCTATCTGGAATGTACTCGTTGAGAATGTTTTGATTATACTACAATGGCACATATATAGAATACTATTTTACATTGCCACACAACAAGTAGAAGCAATAGAAAGCAACAATTTAAAACAGTTTACCATGTAGACATTCAACTACAACGTGAATTCAATGCAAGAATTAATATAATTTTAACTCCCAATAATCCGTTTTTAGCTTTATTAAAGCAATCTCTAAGCAATTTTCAAACTTGATTTACTGATAGAATTATTGGTAAACCAATTACAGATGTTATATCTAAAAAGCTAAATGAAAAACATAGTTTCGATAATATCTCTGTACAATTGCCAATTCATTATCTATATGTTCACATTGATGAGCTCTCCAGTCTAATGCTTTTTTGCTTTTTGGGAATACCAGTCCTTCTAAATTCGCTCCTTTCCTCCAGATACTGCTCTGTGCATTCTTTAATGAAGTCTTGATTGTAGAACCACTTTTCCATGCAGGCCTTCATCTTATTATTTTCTTTCCTACATTTTATGACGTGCAGTAGACCAGAATTAAGACAGCAATCATGAAATTCTAAGAAAGAGATGATGTTTACTACATTTGACTCTCGCTGGTGCAAAGCCAAGTAATAGAATAACGTTATTTGTTATCATTTTGATCATAATTTTGATGACAACTTGATAACTAAAATGAGTATAGTCAAGGGGATACTAATTTAAAAAACAAAAATAATTAAACCTGTTTAAATAGACTATGCTTAATAAGTATTTACAAGAAACTAACTTCGAAAAAGAAAGAATTGGAGGCGAATATTATAGGAAAATTTTCTGAGAATCCAAGATAATATTATAAATTTAAGTTTTTCCAATATAAAAAATCAATTTATAATTTTAAAAGAAAATAAAGTAAATTAAATGTGAATTAAATGTAAATTTTTTTTTATTCATCTGCTGGTAATTAATTAAAAATAATAAAACAAGTCCAATAATCCATATCATTTGACTATACTCTCCCTTCCGGATTCAACAGTCTTAAAATCCTACAGCCATGACAACAAATAATGCGCTATCTAGGAATCAAGTAATTTATCCAGATAAATTACCTTTGACCTCGTTGACACATTTTTCGGATTTGGTTTTCTCTCGCATCAACTTAGGTACCAACACATCTTTCTCTACCTTCCTTAAACTTTTGTCGTTAGGATCACCTGAAATAAACATAAAATATTCTGAAATTCCGAAAGAAGGAGAGATCATGAGACCCCAGCGAATATGTGAATTGTTGAATAAGAAATACTTATTTTTTATTGTCAGCAAATTTCAGACTTTGAATACGAAGAGTATAAAGATCCCGTCGCCGGTTGCGCTTAACTCTCTCTGTCGGGATTAAAAACTCTAACCTGTCATCAACAGTCCTCGACATTCCGCAACCGGCGACAAAGTTATTTCGCTACTTCACGGCGCGAAAAACGCGATGCAATAAAAAGATTACCTAGTCCCTGCGGTCCTCCGCCAAATTTCGGCGAAAGAACCGAGTAATCCTCCTTCATGCTGTTAGAGCTTTCGGAGCAGATAAAAATATCTTTGTGCACTACGTTGAAAGATTTTTCATTTCCACCACTTAATTCGCGGCCGTCACACGTGCGTCAAACCACGTGACTGTCATGACATATTCGTACTTAAATGTAACAAAAAACATTTTCGCTTGTGTGTTTCTTTATAAAATATTTTCGAAACTTACGATAAAAGTTATAAAATAATATTTTAAATAAAGTTTAACTTTTTATATCTTTTATCATTTTATTGATATACTCTTAGAAAAAGAAAAGTCGATTTTTCTTGGGAAAGAATTTTACTTTTAATGCGTAAAAAAATATAAAAGCTCAAAGTCACGGGAAAAGAACATTAGCGTGCATTTTCATGCGAGTTTCTTGTGAATCGAGAGAACCAAGAGAAACAATAAACAATTTTGTAAAAAATAAAACAAAAATATACAATAAAATATAATACAGCACAGTATATAATATAATATAGTATAATATATAATATATATATAATAAAATATAATATAATATATATAATATAACACAAAAAATATAATATAATATAATGTATATATAATATAAAATATACGATTTGACAGTCCTGTTTTCGTCCCGCCGTCTTGCAACACTGGACTGGACACACTTGGAGCAACCAGCAGACTGCGCTCGTGATTGTGCACATTTGAGACTTGTCATCAGTGACTCCAAATAACTTCGAAGAAGGAATGCTCGTTCGGTCTGTCACAATAACGGGGAAATTCTGTTGCTGAAGACAAGAACTGTCGTAAGAACAATTTATATCTTAATCTGATAAGAGTCGCGCGTCACTTTTGAACTGTATATCGTCAAGGGATAACAGGAAATCCACATAGCGTTCTTTTCCTAACCTCTAAATGTTAGCTTGTACGTACATACAATATAACATATGACATACTGGATTTCCAAAGATTTTGTGTTGTAATTGTATAATGTGTTTCAAATGTTTGCAGAGTGTAGAATTTGAATAACACATCAGAATGGACAGGCTCTTGCGATTAGGCGGTGGAATGCCAGGCCTAAATCAAGGGCCACCACCCTCTGACGCACCCGTTGTGGACACAGCTGAGCAGGTATCTATCATTCAGAGCATTGTGCTTTATGTTGTCTTATTTTTTGCATTATTATAGGTGTACATATCGTCCTTGGCTCTCTTGAAAATGCTTAAACATGGCCGTGCCGGAGTACCGATGGAAGTGATGGGTTTGATGCTGGGTGAATTTGTTGACGATTATACCGTTCGTGTTATCGACGTCTTTGCTATGCCGCAAACAGGAACGGTAAATGTTGAGATATAAAAGAGAAAAGTGATAAAGTACTTTTGTATATGTCATTTGTTTTTTTATGTTCTCTTAGGGTGTTAGTGTAGAAGCGGTAGATCCAGTGTTCCAAGCAAAGATGTTGGACATGCTAAAACAGACTGGTCGGCCAGAAATGGTGGTTGGCTGGTATCATTCCCATCCAGGATTTGGATGCTGGTTATCTGGAGTAGACATTAATACTCAACAGTCCTTTGAGGCTCTTAGTGAAAGAGCGGTAGCTGTTGTCATTGATCCTATACAATCAGTGAAAGGAAAAGTTGTTATCGATGCATTTAGACTAATAAATCCAAACATGATGGTGAGTACATTTGTGACAACAATATGTTTTCCAATTGTGAATCCGTCGTATCGATTGCAGGTTTTAGGACAAGAACCCAGACAAACGACATCGAATTTAGGTCACCTACAGAAGCCGTCTGTTCAAGCGTTGATACACGGACTGAATCGGCATTATTACAGTATTAGTATTAATTATCGCAAGAACGAACTGGAACAAAAAATGCTGCTGAATCTTCATAAAAAAACATGGATGGATGGTCTTACTCTTGCCGAATATTCAGAGCATAGTCGACTCAATGAGAATATCGTTTCAGAAATGCTTGAACTCGCGAAAAATTATAATAAGGTGAAATATTGCACAGCAGGCGCAGTTTAAAAGCTTTATTACATACCTATACATTTGTATAGTATATGCGTATTGGATATATTAAGTATCTTTTATCATAATAATGATAGAGTTTTGTTTTTATAGGCCTTGGAAGAGGAGGAAAAGATGACACCTGAGCAATTAGCGATAAAGAATGTGGGCAAGCAAGATCCGAAACGGCATCTGGAAGAGAAGGTTGACACATTAATGGCTACAAATATTGTTCAATGCTTGGGAGCTATGCTCGATACAGTTGTATTCAAATAACTGTTTTCCAATACATCACTTGCAATATGATATTTAAAGGAAATATACATCTTTTTAAAATAGAAATATAACGTTTTGTAATTTTCCGAAATGGATACAATTCAGCAAAAACACGAATTAATACATGGACACTATTCTTATCATGTTTTTATAAAAAAAAGTTTCCTTTATAAAATTTTGGTATAATTAATCAAATTGATACTAAACATTGTTATAAATTATAACATGTAAATATTTATATGCGAATGTTTAATGGACAAAAGATGAGGTACACAATAATTCTGATATCTGACATGGAACAAGTACAATATGATAAAAAGAAATCATAGAAAATAAGATATTTTATAATCTATTATGGTATTATTGATACTGAGACATCTATAAATACAATGTATAATCTATATCATTAATTATATTCATGATATAATGATAGATATAGATTCACATATTACAGAGAAAACATAAAAATGCATTAGTTAAATATACTCTATACACATGATTCTTGTCTTCGCATGATAAAAAGATATATATGTACACAGTATAAATTCTTTGAACTTAATTTACCAAAACTCAAATTATAAGTTAGAATACTAGTTTAGACTTACATATTTGCATTTGAGAAAAAGATATGTGACAGATAACATATGAGAAACATTAGGAAATGTAAATTAAAGAAGCGCAGATAGTTTGTATTCCTTTAGATTTTCGGAATACAAACATTTATAAAGTCAAAACAATAGTGTATATATAAAACTGGAACATTCTCTCTTAACATATAGCAGAATAATGTATAATTCAATAAAAAAATAACTGTACATTTTTTTATGTAACAGTTTAATCTAAAAATTTTTCTTTTTTTTGAATATTAATCTAACTTGACACAAGTTCTTGATCTTTGTCCTTCTTTTTCTTTTTCTTCTTTTTTTTCTCTTCCTTTGCCAAAGATTCCTATAACATACACACATATAAGTATCTTGTAATAATTATATAACGTCCAAATTTTTAGATTATAAATTTAATTGTGACAAAAAAATCCAATTACCCCACTGGTAACTTCTTCCATTACTACGGACTTTTCGCCTTCTATGTCATGTTTCTCCTTCTTCTTTTTCTTTTCTTTTTTCTTCTTTTTATCTTTCGGCGATGATGTTTCTAAAATCTCTGATGTTTCTTGTTTCACTTCGTCCATTGTACTCGTGTCGTCGTCTCTCTTCCTCTTTTTACCAATGACTATGTCACCATTATTTTCCGTCTACATTTATTAAAAATATCTTGTAAATAATATTTCTGATACTTTATACATGTATATATATATACGTTTATAAAAAATATTGAAAGTTTAATTTAAAATAAAATATTGGAAGGCATTAGAATAATCGACTTACCGTTGTTGATGCAATTGTTGATGCAGTTGTTGATGCAGTCGTTGATGCAGTCGTTGATGCCATTGTCGTTGATGGTGTTGCCAGATTTTGATAATCTTGGTAACTATGTGACCATTCAGAAGGTGTTTTTTCATTTGGTTTTCCATATTTATCTAACAATCCTTCAGCTACCATACGTTTTTTTTGCGACGCTTTTGGTCCCAAACCCCACTTTCTTGGGTATGAATCTCTCTCCATGATTACCCTTTTGAGTTTTGCAGCTACTCCATGATCACAAGCAGCCATAGTTGGAGAAGACATCAAAGCTATAGCTGATATATACAAGACAAAAATAAGTATTATTTGAAGACCACAAATAAGGATAAGTATTCTGAAGATTAAATATAAAAATAATAAAATAGACATTAAGTTGAACAGTTTTGGATAAATAGTAGGAGAAGTTAAACAACGTTGAGTTAAACATTATCATTACTTTGAAAATATATTTACCAATTGCTACAGCTTCACCTTTGGTAGTTACAATTACAATTTCCTCATTCAATTCTATCCCTTGATCGTACATCAAAACGCCTGGTAACATTATTTTAGCTCCGTAACAAACTGCGTTTACCTAATAAATTTGTGCAACATAATACTATTAAATAACAATAGATATTCTTTTTTCAAGAGGTAAAATAAGTGGAATACATACAGCGCTGTCCTTTATGATGATTCTCTTGTGATTTATTAGCAGCGATTCCAACGGTCTTATAACTCTTCTTAGATACGATTCATCTCCGTGATTGTCATACAGCCATTGGGCGTCAAGAATATCCTGCATAGTGACCATACCATCCTGTTCAGACAAAACGCCAGAACGGCTTCTTCGAAGTTCTTGCATGTGACAACCGGTACCTAAGAAGAGTCCAAGATGGACACACATAGTTCTGATATAGGAACCAGCTTCACAACTAACACGGAATACTCCCATATTGCGTTCCTTGTCATAATCGAGGAACCAACTGTCGTAAACTGTTCTGACGCGGAGCTGTCTCTTGACCGCCGATATCAGAGGCGGCCTTTGGAAGAGAGCACCGCGCAATTTTTCCAAGGCTTGATTCACCTAAATCATCAGTATTAGTATGAAATCAATATAAGATGCCTATTTGGATATTACTATACAACAATTATCTTTTGGATAACAAAGAATTAATAAATATTGACATTTTCGATTGAGTTAGGATCTCATGTCTAACAATAATTTTTACCAGTTTTGTACATGTACTTAAGAGATATAGGATAAATAGCTGCACAAATAAATGATACAGTGATCACTTATCAGAGACAAGAGATTCAGTCATTATTTGATTCCTAATCATACTATCCATGTATTTATTTGTATAAATACTTGTTCATTTTGCATTATATTGATTGATATTTGTTTAAATATTTATTTATTCCATTATCCACAATCACATATATTTACCTTTTGAATACTTTCAGCGGCAGAATGAAGCTTGAATACAGCAACGTATTCCTTTCCAGCAGACTGTTGCGACTTGGCTAGTCTCGTCGCTCTGTCTATACAGACTATCAAGCATCCTGATACTTTGGGATCCAATGTACCAGAATGACCAGTCTTCTCCACCTTTAGGATCTTTTTTATCCAAGCTACTACTTCATGCGATGATGGGTTGCATGGCTTGTCTAAATTAATACAGCCTGATTTTACATACTCCGACAAGCTGCGATTTAGTGGAGTAGAACCACTGGTCAATGGAGTAAAATGCTTCGTGCGTGTCAACATTTTATCAAAATTCTGCAATAAGAAACAAGAAATTTGTTTTGAATTTTTCAAATTATATTACATAGTTGTCGCAATTACATGGTATATAAAGATTTATTGAAACAAACATTACCTTAAACAGCAGAGGCCAGTCTTTACATTCGAGCTTCACTTCCATCTTCGAAGGTTCGATCTCACATTTGGTCGTTAATTGCAGTTCACCAATCGATTTCTTCTTATCCTTTTTCTTGTTCTTCTCTGTAAGAAAATGGGGAGGTATAACCTAATCTACTTTAACCTCCATTTAATAAATAAAACAAGCTAATTTTCTCGTGTTATATTCAAAGAAGTAAATGGAGTGAGCAGCATTTCTTTGGTCTGTTAACTTGTTTTAATATTTTAAACAGTACTATCATCGTAGGTGATCGATGTTGCGCTGAGTGAACACGTGTTCATCATGGGGTTACTGTATGAATTCATAACAGAAACGACGCAATCCAGAATAACGCAAATAGAAGTCGACGCAATATCTAAAAGAATACTTAGTATGGGAGCGATGTTACTTACCTTCTTCCATTTTAAAATTTGTTAAAACTTGTGTAAAATTCAAATGCCGCCAAATACTACGAAGCGTACTAAAACTCCAAGAGAAGAGTGGACTTATGGAGCAATATGTAGAGAACGTGAAGAACAGTGTTCTGAAATCTGAATCCTAGTTCCTAGGCTGCGTTCAAAAGCATTACCCGAGTGCCCCCGCGTATCGTATTATCTTTGTTGTTCACTCAGTATTAAACAAGGATAAGATAATACACGGAGACAGCCAAGGGTGCGTTCCAAAACGCAACTTTGGTAACTGAAATCTATAGTTAACGTAACGTAAACTATAGCTTTTTAGTAACCAAAGTTACGTTTTGGAACGCACCCCTGGTGATGTTTTTGGGAGGGCTCCGATTTTGACACATCGCATATTGCACACATGTATCGCTAATTGGTCAATTTAAAAATAAAATAATCTCGTTGGCAAAACAGTAAAAAATTACTAGGCACCAGTTGATATGAGTAGTGTGTACAATCAGAACTGTAGGCAAACGGGATCCTCCCATGTTTTTGAACGCAGCCCTAGCGTTCATAGCATCGACATCTAGAATGGACCGCTGATGGCAATGGTGGGGGTAGAAAGACGATTAGAGTGAGAGGCAGGAATAATAAGA